TTGGATTTGAACCGGTCAACGGATGGTCGATTGATCCTTTCGGACTCAGTTCAACCTATGCCTTTGTTCTTCAGAAAGCAGGCTTTGAAAACATGTTAATCCAGGTATGTTTCGAAGATATTACGAAACTAGAGCAATTGAAGATACTAGTGACTTATCGAAAATAATTTTTTTTTATAAAGATTTTCTTTGAAGTAATGCTAGATGTTGTATTCGCCTGAAAATGTATTTTGGTGACCCGATCCACGGGTTAAATTAAAACTCTTCGAATTCACAGAGGCTCGTTTCATGTCTTGTTATTGACTCCATATTAATTGGAGGACTCTCGTTTGGTTGCCAAAGTTATGAAAATACTGTACTACCAATGAATTCAGTTAACCCTCGTATGAAGTTTCGAGGTCATTTTGATCAGCGTCGCCTCTTTTTAATCTTTTTTTTTCTTTTCTTGTGTGGATTGAAAAAAGTTCATTATTTATCCGTATGTATTTCTTTGTCTAGCGAGTTCATTATGCCATAAAGAAAGAATTAGCCCTTCGGAAGCAACTGGAATTTGAGTGGAAACAAGCGTGGGCGTCCAGGGGAATCACGTGCCACTTGATGCCGTTTTATTCGTACGACGTGCCGCATACGTGTGGCCCGGACCCGAAAGTGTGTTGCCAGTTTGACTTCAAACGGCTTCCCGGCACGGGTGTGACGTGTCCCTGGCGGGTTTCCCCGGTCCCGATCACTTCCGAAAATGTTGAATCACGTGCACACGTCATCATGGACCAGTATCGAAAAAAGGCAGAATTGTACGCTTCCAATGTTGTTCTGATACCCTTGGGAGATGATTTCCGCTTTGTTTCTCCCCGTGAGTGGGACGACCAGTACAACAATTACCAAAAATTGTTTGACTTCATCAATGCTGATACGTCACTCAATGCTGAGGTTAGTTTAGTTTGAGGACTTTTTTCATAACGCGTATGTGAGATGTAATCGATTTCGAGATTCAAAATGTTGCATTGTCATCGATGATGCCCTTCGATGTTTATTCATTTTATTTTATTTTTACCATTAGGTGAACTTCGGAACGCTTTCCGATTATTTCAATGCGCTGAGATCAGAAGAAGCTTTTGAGGATTTGCCTTCGCTGACTGGAGACTTCTTTTCTTACAACGATCGTAACGACAATTACTGGACCGGCTATTATTCGTCGAGGCCGTTTTACAAACATTTCGACAGACTTCTCACTCATTATTTGAGGAGCGCCGAGGTTTTATACGTGGCGGCGTTGACTTCTGGACAAGTCCCTGGGGAAGAATCCGTATTGATGCATACCCAACTTGATCAGGCTAGAAAAGCCTTGTCCTTGTTCCAACATCACGACGGAATCACGGGAACTGCGAAAGACTTCGTCGTCGACGATTACGGAAAAAAGATGCTCGAAGCTCTTGCAAATTGTGAACGAGTAATGGGAACTTCGCTGACGCGTTTGACCAAGAAAGAAATTCAGCACATTAGTATGACCGAAGTCATGCCGGAATTCAATACCGTCCTGCGGCCAGTTTTCGTCAACGAAGATGTTTCCATTGTTGTAGTCTGCAATCCTACGCTTTCGAACCGGAAGGAAATCGTTTCTTTTTATTCTGAACGTGCGGACGTGATGGTGGTGAACGCGAGGATGCAAATCAGTCCGAATCCCTCGCCGATGGAAACCGGTAGTCACTTTATAGTGTATTTTGAGGCTGACGTGGAACCGTTGTCGGTGAAGTCCTACTCGCTCAAGTTCGGTGTCGAGTCGAAAGAGAGCTTTGCGACAGTGACGGTGCATGACGGGGGTTTGGAGTCGACGCAGGATTGGTCTCGAGGACTCCCGACGCAATTTGAGAGACGGCGTGCTAGTGATGACGAGTTTTCCATTGGATTCTCTGATACACTGTTGTTTGACTCATCGGGGAATTTGAAGAAGGTTCTGTTTGCTGATGGAACCGGGATGAACGTGAAGGTCAAGTCAATTCAGTACGGGACCAGGTCACACGGGGAGGCCAGTGGTGCGTTTTTCTTCCTCATCCAAAATATGCTCTTGGTAAACGGAACGAATGCCGTGATTCGGTCTAGTGACGTTCAAGAACCCCCAGTACCTAAATGAGTTTAAAAGTTTTGCTAGTGTTGCATTGTTTTCTTTGGATGCATGTAGACGGACGTGATGATCACAGGGTAATACTGTATTTTATCATTTCTGGACCCTTGTAAATTTTTCTCACCCAGGCTTGTAACAGAGGATTTGAGGGTGAACTTAATTAGTTTTGCTTTTTTGAATGATGCATAATTATTGTGGGCAGGCCAAGAGCCAGGAAATATTTAAAATTTCTTTAAAATGCTAGTGGACTCAAAATCAAAGCGAGGAATTCTGAAATCATCTGAACGGTCTTTAACGCGTGGTGTGAAAAAAGGAACGCCAAATCAAAGCCTGTTCTATATTTCTTTTTTATGATTTTCAATGAACTGATCTAACGAGTAGAGTAAGCGTATTTGAATCTTTTAAAGTCGCTGAGAAAACGTTACCAAGTGCTTTTTACGATGGTTCAGTAGTGCGTTCGAAAGTTGACACCAAGAGTGGTTTAAGATGACTTGCGAAGAGTAGATTTCATGCAAAAATTCGCCATTCTTCAGAGTGACATTCCAGGATTGGTAATGATTTTCTCTTTTTTGCGGAGCTTTTTTTTTTTTTTATGAGAACGTATCAAAATATTTTACAATGCTGTACTATCTATTCTGTTTCTTCTCGTCAGGTGCGTATTTGTTTCTGCCGGACGGTCCTGCTAAGGATTACGTCGTCCGAGATCCGGCCCCAGTTGTGCGAATCGAAGGTC